CAAAAGAGGAAAGTAATGACAGTTTTATTCCTGATAATTTTTTTGTAAAATAAACTATGCTTATTAATTTAAATAGTTGTAAATTTAGGAATTTCAATTATAAAATAGATATTTAAATTTTAAATATAACTTTAAATTTATAATTGAGTTTCCTATTTACAATTATCTAAATTAATATTTGCAACTCATTTTTTTAAAAATTTTTATGAAAAACTTGGCTATCATTAATTATTTCTTTTAAAATTTTATTGTCATTCTCCCTAGAATCATTTTCCCTTTTTTCCCCCTTAACATTGTCAATGCTAGATTTTTTTTCAGTAGTCAATTTAAGTATCTCCACGATCTCTACAAAAATGTTTTCGAACAGGAGGCTTGTTTTTTTTTTTTTTAATTAGAATTAGGAGGCTTGTTCTTTTGTTCTCCTTTTTTGGATAAATAAGGAAACCCTAAACTATACTACTCGACTAGCCAGGGTACGGCTCTCCCGAAACCAAATTTTGAGGCTTGTTCCAATTTTAAATTTTTAATACGCTTGAGATCCAAAATGTGCTCCTTTCATTTTATAACATATGTATTTCAACTAAAATATGCAAATTTCAAAAGGTACAAATTTGACCCTCTATTATTTTTTTAAAGAGCATTGAGTTTCATATTATAAGGTAGTATGAAATAAATTCTCAATTTTTAAGAACGAATTATCCAAAAGTCTCCATTAATTTTAATTTGATAGACATTAACTTTCTATGTGGGGCTCACAATTTTTGATTGAAAATAACAAATGGCACACCACTTTAGCAAATAAAGGTGTAAATCTAATCATGAAATATTTATTAAGGAGCATTGAATAGTTTCTATTATAAAAATCAAACCATCCAATACATTCCCATTAATTTTGATCAAAAACTATTTATTTTCATACTTATGTGATTCAAAATGTGTCAATCTCTTCAATCTTTTTACATTCGTTATCAGTCTCAATTCGAGAAGAAGAGGTTTAAAAAGTTTTTTATGAAGATATTTACAAGGACAACGCCAGCAAAACTTGATTCAATTGCTTTGTTTTCTATAAAAATAGTTTATGGTTAAATTAAGCTTGAATCAAGCTTCTTCCATGCATAGTAGTATCATAATTCATAATGCTACTTCACTTGAATTGCCATAGAGATTTAGACAAAACCTTGTCTTCTTCCTCTTCCTCTTCTACATCGTTGGCATCATCCTCGTAAATGACTTAAAAAAAGAACTCTTTAAACTTTTTCTTCTCAAATTGAGACTAAGAACAAAGGTAAAAAGATTGAAGAGATTGATATGTTGTAGGTCTCAAAGTTTGAAAATAAACGACATTTAATCAAAATTGATGGAATGGTATTGGATGATCCATTTTTATAGTAGAGGCTACCTAGTGTTTCTTGAAAAATAGTTTATGGCTAGATTTACACTTTTATTTGCTAAGGTGGCATGCCACATGTCATTTTTAGTAAAAAATTATGGGCCTCGCATGGAAAATTAACGTCCGCCAAATGAAAGTTAATGAAGGCTGTTGGATGCTTCATTTTTCAAAATTGAGAATTTATTTTGAACCATGTTATAGTGTAAGTTATCCAATGCTCTTGAAAAAATAATTGAGGGCTAAATTGTACCTTTACTTGAATCTATGATTAGGTGATAATAATATCAAATTGAGTATCATGAAATTGCAAAATTGAATGCCACCTTTACCACCCCTCACTGACAAAGCATTCCCAATTGTTTCCCTATACATTTATTTCAATGAGATTCACCTCCCACCATGATCACCAATAATAGATTTACCCATTTCTAAAAAATATTATTTGCTTTTTATTGTTGTAAATGCCAATCTGTCTCGTAGTTCATTCATAGTTCCTTTGAAAGCTAGGAATGATTATGACTATAGCAACTCAGAAAGTTCTCAATCAAACTTCCTGTTAGCAAGCTAATTCTAAACTAATTTTAGATAAAAATGAACTAAATTATCCTTCATTCCATAATAAATATAATAAAACTTATTAAAATATATGATAAATATGAGAATCATCACATCCTTCAAAAAACTTATGAATTATAATTATCAATCTCATGAACTAAATTACCCCATCCCCTTATAAATATACTTACTTATTCCTTTTATCATCTTATTTTTAATTTTATTTTTTAATTTATTCCATTTCATTATATTTTAGTAAGCAAATGTTACCTAAAAGTCCAGATGACACCTTCCAACATTTAGTATTTCCCTCTCTCGATATACTTAATTTTATATTGTATTTTTTTATGTAAGTAAAGTAATTCAATACGATACAAATGACAAATATAAAGGTTAAAAAACAATTGAGCCTCTTAAATTTGAAGTCCTGCATTTAAATCAGCGTGAATATAATTTTTTTTAAAAAAATTACTTTTAATTTAGACTTGACAATGCTCAAATTTAATTTATTAATAATAAATAATAATATAACTATGTAAAAATAAAGAAAATATCAAATAAATATATCAGGAAAAATACCTTTAATTTAACTTTCACATAAATCTAACCCACTTTTTTTTTTTTAACAGTCGGATTTTATCACACATCCATTTTTGGGAAAATAATAATTGCGTTCCTTGCTTGGAAGTTAATGACAAATAAATTTCCTCGAATCCGCAAAATGATAAGATGAGTTGTTATATTATAATTAGCCAATGCATAACAGACGTGGCATTATTAACAACCTAAGTTATTATATATTATCTTGAGAGGCCAAAATGCTGAAATGTCCTACTATTTATGAGTATCTTTTTTCTTTTTGTCAGAAAAATGTCAGTTCTCACCCACCCTACCCACCTTTGATGGTATCATTAGAGTAACAACCTAAATTGTCTTCAGAGGGAATCTCATTTGAGGTCTAACCAAAAAAAAAAAAAACCTTTATTAAATTAATTAAAATAAACATGTCAATTTTAAATAAAAATTTCATTTCTAATAAAAAATTATTTATTAATATATAAATTTAAAATTATGAATTTGTGATCATGTAATTATAAAAATTTAAATTTGTATTTGTTATTTTCTTACTAAGGGTAATTATATCTTTTCTTCCAAAATTATGTTTGCAAAAAAAAAGTGGATCTATAAAATAATTTTAGAATTTACTGAGTGCTGAGTATAATTTTTTTCCCTTGAAAGCCCTGGATGAGATTTTCTCTTGTTTTTATCTAACCGTTGAGATCATTTTGTTTTGAGAAGCCCTTTTTTTTTTATTGAAACTAAGAGTATCTTCTATGAATAGTTTTAATATCTTTTGAAGCAAGAATGGTTAAGAAATAATTAATTAAATCCTCTGAAACTAAGTTTTAAGAATTTATGTGAAGTTTTTTATTAGTTTTACTTATTTTATTATTTTTATAAAATAAAAATATTCTCATTTAAAAAAACAAATTTAATTAAATTCATAATTTTTAATTTTAGATTATATGAGACCAGGAGCAAACTTTCTTTACTAAATTTACCTCACACATACATGTATGTTAGCAGAGCTTTTATTATAGGGTATCTTTTAAAAGAAATTTTTTATTTTTAATATAAAGCACTTGATATGATATTACTTATATTTTTTTAATATCATTTATATTTTTTTTGGTAAAAAATGTGTATATATGTATATCTATATATATTGAAAAGAACCAAAAACAAAACCAAGTAAGAGGACAGAGCCTCAACCAACATCAACCAACACTAATACGACCACTTAAAGCATTAGAATGAAAAATATTTGCAAGAGGGTGTGGGGGTACATGAACCCAACCAAAATGACACACTCTCTAATGGGCTGAACTAGCAAGCTAGTAGGCAACTAGATTAAGGGATTTAGGAATCCAAGAAAAGCTAACAAAATCAAAAGAAGATTTCAACTTCAAAATATTAGAAAAAAGGTAATTTAAATGTCATTCAGGACTGTAGAAATCTCCATTAATTGCATCAACGGGCACCTTGTAGTGAATTTCGAACTTCACTTGATGAAAGTTTAAGCCAAGAGCCATTTGCATTCCTTTCCTAAGAGCTTTAGCCTCCACCATTAAAGGAGATACAGCCTTATAAGGACTGTTAAACCAATCTCAAGGCTCAGCCTAAGAGTTTCAAAAAATAATTCCCATGCCTGCAAACCTTAGGATGGGAAGGAGAAGACCAACTAAGCTGAGAAGATGGAGTCAAAGATTTCCTATTATCTTTATCAAAGTTATTAGCCACCCAACCACGAGTTAACTAGAATTCATTTAGTAGAGATTTAGCTTGTTTAGCCCCAAAACTCAGATCAATAGCAAAGTGGTTATAAAGACAAGAATACTTATGTTTTCAAATTTGCCAGCACATCATATCAATTAAAGCTATCCTAAAATCATCAAAATCAGAATCAAGAAAACCCAACATAGTCAAGGGACGAAATTATATATAAAAAGGCTATCAACATGTAAAGAAAGAGAAGAGGAAAACCAAGCCTTTTTAACCCAATCACAATTAAAAAACAAATGCTCAAGAGTCTCATCTTCAACTGAACAACAAGAGCAAATGCTGGAGTTTGTGATGAAAAATCTCTTTAATTTAACCTTGATAGACAAAACCTCTTTAAAAAATTTTCACATGAAATAATTAACCTTTTTAAAAACTTTTAATTTTCAGAGGTGTTTTCAAACTTTGTCCACATTTGGATAAAGAATATCATTTATATTTAAACTAATTAATTATGAAAGAAAATATAATATAAATTTAAATTTTTTTTAGCGGTAGGATTGGAAGCTTATCTTATTTTCAAATAAAATTAACAATTTAATCAACTTTTTTTAATTCAGATGAGATAATTAGGCGTGTTTTATATTGAAAATTGGGGTAAGTATAATAAATAAATAAAAAAGTTGAAAAATAAAATTTCTAACCACTCGACAGAGCTGGTCTGTAACGACAACCTAATCTGTAAAATCTAGTTGATTTACACGACACTCATAAAAGGAGCTTTCCTCTTCAGCTGGTTCTTCAAACAAGGTCACTTCTTCAGAGTCAGGCTAAGGTTAAAGCACATAACCGATTTTACAGAAAACTGAATACTCAATTGGCCCTTTAAAAATTTTCAATCTTCACTGAAAACTTCAGCTCTTCAAGACATGCCGTTTCGTCGTCGGTGGTCGAACCACAATCCAGGACCTGAAATATCCAATCCAAACTCCTACACTTGAACTCATTCCCTGTTTACCCATGAAACGAATTCACCAAATCCCCTATCACCGACATCGCAAATGGCTCATGCCCACCATTACAATCTCCACCCTCTTCATCCTCTTCCTCTTCATCCTTCTCTTAAGCCGCAGCAAATCTTCCAGATCGGCTTCTTCTTACAATCAACCCAGTTTCACCCATTTTGACCTAGATTCCGATTCAGGACTTCCCCGGTTGCCCCGATTTGCGTATTTGATTGCAGGTACGAAAGGGGATGCTTCGCGGCTCCAGAGGGTTCTTCAAGCGTCGTATCACCCCAGGAACTATTACTTGCTGCATCTGGATCTCGAAGCTTCGGATTCTGAGAGGCTTGAGCTTGCCAAGTATGTGAAATCGGACATTGTGTTGAAGGGTTTTGGGAATGTAATGGTGGTTGGTAAGGCTGACTTGGTGACTTATAAGGGTCCAACAATGATTGCTTGCACACTTCACGGGATTGCCCTGTTGCTGAAGTGGACAAATAATTGGGATTGGTTTATTAATCTAAGCGCGTCTGATTATCCTCTCTTGTCACAAGATGGTGAGTTTTTGTACACACAAAACTTGATTGCTTTTGCTTTGAGTTGCAGCTATTAGAAATGCAACAGTGATGCATAACTAATTGCTAAGTGTGTCACTTTGGTTAATATAAAGATATAAGTTGCGAGCCACACTCCCTCAACAGGCACGCTTTTTAGGATGGGCCTCTTCATTGGCAAGTCTAAAGTCACATCAATTTGTTTGAAACGATCCATTTATTTGGGAGAAACAAAATTAATGGTTGGAGTTAGAACGAGCTAGCTAAAATAGCAAGCAACCCTTTTTTGCTTGAAGCTTGGAATTTGTAATAGTTGCGGCAGAATGAACCTGAAGTTATTTCAAACTATTTCTGTCTTCAGAGCCAAATAGGACAGACTGAAGACATAAATGAATGAGCTCTAGCTTTCAACTTAAAATGAAAGTCTGAATCTTTCAACTTATATGCTCTGAATGAGATCTGAAGCTGAACCTTCAAAAATCTGGTCTTTAACTACATGCATTTTAATTCGTACTTATTAGAATCCTTTATATGTTGCTTAAAATGAATTTCAATTTGTAGTGCTTCATAGAGTTAAAAAAAAAAAAATCTTTGTTTGAGTTGATGGTACATGTCAATCATATAGAAGAAATCTAAAGTTAATTGTATTTGGTATTGAAGAAAAGAAACATGTTTTCCTTTGGTCCCTTTCGGCTCATCATTGTTGGTTAAAGTTTAATTCAACTTTAGTTGTTTGTGAAACACAAATATATCATTATTTACTTACATGAGTTCTGTTGTGTGGCTCTTGAATTGTACTCCTCATTGGTGACCATAGTTTGATCTACAGCTTGCAACTTGCTTTGCATACTGCAAGCTTTCTCGCGATTGTTTAAATGTGGCATGTTGGAGACATTGACAACCTGATTTTTCTCTGCCCTATAACACGCAGAAGAAAGAGAACCACATGAGAGGATGAGTGTTTTATGGAATACATTGATTAAATCAGTGAGAAAAGTACTCTGATATATCTAATTTGGGTGTATTTGTAGTGTGGATCTTGAGTTTAGCCAAACCATACAGAAAATTATAGAATACATTGATTAAATCAGTGGATCTTGAGTTTCCTTTCGTGAAAGCTTGTTGTCTTTGCCTGTGGATGTAGACTAAGATCTGTACTGTCAATTCCTTGTCCATTAATTTCCTGTGGCCTTTGGAAATAATTTGAATTTGCTATATCATAAATATATTATTTGTTTGATTTGCTAACTTTTCTGTGGAACTTTTGTGCTTCAGATCTCTTGCATATCTTTTCATTCATCCCCAGGGATCTAAACTTCATAGAGCACACGAGTAATATGGGTTGGAAAGAGTGAGAATCCTACTTATCCTTTGATCATGTCTCAGTTTGTTGCTGAACTTGATGTTTTAAATTCCACACATGGTTACTATAATATGTATAAATGTAACCGTGGCTACAGATATCAAAGGGCCAGGCCTATCATTATAGATCCAGGCTTATATAATTCGAAGAAATCCGGTGTTTATTGGGCCAAAGAAAAAAGATCTGTCCCATCTTCTTTCAAGTTATTCACAGGTAATAATTCTAAGTTTTCAATGGATTCATCTCTTACTTTCTTCTAGCTTATCCTGTTTTCTCCAGTACTTTTACTTTGCCTTTTTAGTATATATCCAGTTCTGTTTGACTTATTATCTGTAGCACTTTATAGTCTATCAAGATCAGTACCATACCTGTGACTGTTAAAATTTGTTATGCACCATAGTTTCTGCAAATGTTATCATGAATTTACGATTCATAATTAACAGTAGCTCCTGAAGATAGGAAATCAATGTAAAATTTGAATATTCCAATAGGCCTTGCTATTTATGAGCTATGAATGTTGCAGGTCCTTTCATGGATTCCATGTAATGCATGATATACGCGGGATCTGTGTGCAATTTATCGATGAAAGTTCCTTCATCTGCTTCTTGAATATTCTTGTTGAAAGTATATCCTGTTTCCTTCAGGTTCTGCATGGGTTGTCCTAACAAAACAGTTTCTGGAGTTCTGTGTTTGGGGTTGGGACAATCTTCCTCGGACTCTGTTGATGTATTACACAAACTTTCTTTCATCCCCAGAGGGCTACTTCCACACTGTCGTCTGCAACCACAAGGACTACCAGAACACAACAGTAAACCATGATTTGCATTATATAAGGTGGAACAACCCTCCCAAGCAGCATCCACTGTTGTTGAAATTGGAGCATTTTGATGATATGGTGGAAAGTGGCACTCCATTTGCCCGAAAGTTTGAGAAAGATGATCCAGTTCTCGATAAGATTGACAAGGAGCTCTTGAGAAGATCAGATGGCCACTTCACTCCTGGAGGTTGGTGTATGGGAAATCACTTTTTGAGCATAGATCGTTGTGCAGTTTATGGGAATCCAGTTTTAGTGAAACCAACTTCAAGTTCCAAGAGGCTAGAAAAACTGATGGTGAAACTGTTAGATCCTGAGAATTTTCGGTTGAAACAGTGTAAATAGTGTGGCCAGTTAGTTCATTTTTCTTCCCACAATTTTGCTTCTCTTGCATTGCAGATGATTATAGTTTCTCAACTTGGTCCTAGAGTTTCAACATCTTATTTCAATCATTCAAAGAGTATCATTTTTCTCTTTATGACGTTCTCTTCTTTCCTCCTTTCTGATTGTCGGAAGCAAATTAATTCTGTGACCATGTAGTCCAAGAGAATTGGACTCATTTTGCTACATGTTGGGCCGGCCCAAATAGAAACTGTATCCTGTTGGCAAATAAGGAAAATAAAATAAAGAGAATGTACCAAACAATGTTTTTTGTAATTTTGTTTAAAAAAATTGCACAATACACACAACCACCGTATAATTTTTATAATGCATGAAATTTAAATAGTGAGTTATAGTTGTTTGTAATTTATATATAAAAACGTGACTTGTTATATATTCGTATTGATGCTGTTCAAAAAAATGAACTCGTGTGCCTATATTTTGGTGAAGACTATGAGATTTGCCCGCTGATAAAATTGAGTATTTCGCCATGACACATTCATATGGCCGAAGAAAAATTATGGGACATTCAAATCTTCGATGATTAATTTGTTTATTTATTTGTCGGCCTGATTAGATGATTTAGTTTGAGTAACCTGAATTTGTATTTTCTCATCACAAGTGGCCAATCATGAAATAAAAGGTAACATCGGTTACACAATAATTTAATAAATTTTAACATAGAATTTGTTCACAGGACGAACCTACATTATATTGTAGGTCTTGGCTAGCAAGTGTCCCCCCATAGAAATTCTTTTTTCCTTTTTCTTATATGTACAATGAATATTCATTGTCCCTTTGATATTTAATAATAGGGTAAAGGAACAAAAATACCCACAAAGTAATTAACGACGGGCACCCACTATTTTAAAGTGATGAAAGGGCAAAAATACATATAACGTTATATGGATGGGTGCAAAAGTAACCAGACCGTTAATTTTGACAGTTAAATGTTAACTGTACATGCCACGTGTTAGTCTTTGCTAACGTGGATTAAAAAAGGGACAAAAATACCCACGAAGTCATCGGCTAAAAGCAAAAATACTTATAACGTTATCAGAATTGGTGCAAAAGTGACCAATACATTCAATCCCTTAAATATTAACTGCTTAGTTGATATCTAAGCAAAAGTTGATTTTTTTTTTTGCTGATATAAATAAAAAAATTCCAAAATAAATTTTTAAGAATGTTGATCAATCATTGTATGAGTATCTATAATGTTACTTTAATAGATGCATTAGTGATCAATATGTTAAAATCAATGTCATATGGTTTCTTTCCATTACCACATATCTCACCCCCTTTCTTTCTCCTTATCCACTCATTTTTTTTGTTTGTAAAACTTGAAATTTAATATAGTGAGATAGGTTGTTCAAAATTGAGCACATCTAACTTAAAAACATTGCCACAACCTTAAGCAATTGCATTCACGATAGATTCAAAATTTTTAAATGATTTACGCCACTGTTGCAAAAAAAAAAAGACAAGCAATTTAATTTGATATTCAGTCAAAATGATATTTTCTCATATGATATTTATACAATAACTGATTAACTTTTAAAGAATTTCATTTTGAAATATTTTTTATCTACATCAGTTAAAAAATAATCAACTTTTGCTTAATTGTCAGCTAAACAGTCAACATTTAAGGGATTGGATGTATTGGTCACTTTTGCACCAACTTTGATAATATTATGGGTATTTTTGCTCCTGATCGATGACTTTGTGAGTATTTTTATCCTTTTTTTAGTATACGTCAGTAAAAATTGACACATAACATACATAGTCAGCATTTAACGGTCAAAGTTAACGATGTTAAGTCAAAGTTAACGGTCTTATTACTTTTGCACCCATCCATATAACGTTATGAGTATTTTTTCCCTACTTTAGGATACTGGGTGCTCGTCGTTGACTACTTTGTGGGTATTTTTGCCCCTTTGCCCTTAATAATATTAGATCTAATAACCCACAAAATATATGTATGATATATGCTTAAGATTTTTCTGGAATTCATGTTCATTCAAAAGAGCGTGTTCTTCCAAGAGTATCGCTTAATTTAGTCATTTTGACCTGAAAGAAAAGAAAATGAAGGACTCAAATTGTCTAAATCATTGAGACCCTAATTTATAATATTCTTCACTTTGTTTGCATCTGTTATTGGATGAACAAGATCCAAAAGGCAATCATTGATTTAGTGTCAATCTGATATATAATGCAACAAAGGCCCTTGGAATAAAGGCTGAGTTATAGTAATTGGCTGGGTCCCTCTCTCTAATTGGTTTTTTGGGTAAATGAAATCAACAGGTACAAATAATGCATGACTTTGGCCAGTAATCCGAATCTTCCACAGAAACAAAACAATAATATTTATTATAAAGTGATAATAAAAAACAAAACAAAATAAGCATATAAAAAGTTTACCTCACCTATAATTATCATTATTAATATATGTAAAATAATATACATTTTGTAACAATCAATACTATTCAAAAGCAATCAACATAACATTCTGCAAAAATTAGAAAAAAATGTCTAATAAATTGTGAACACTGTAACCTTATCATGCACGATTGGAAATAGTCATATTTCCACGATTTTATCTATTGGATCACAAAGAAGTAAACAATTGTACTGATTAGCTTATCCATCAAAGTCATTAGATGGATGGTGTAGTCATGACTTTATTATTGTATTAAAAACTAGATCAGTTATTGAACCAATCAAATTATTGATTTAAAAGTTAGCAGTCTGATTTGGATTGAACCGTAATTAGGCCGGTTTATTAAAAATGGGAAGAGAGAGCTGCATAGTTTACAATGAGTCATAAAAATAAATTTATAATAGGAGTAAAATGGAAAAATGATAATAAATAATCCTCTACATGCCTTAAATTAAGAATTAAAGAATCCTTCTACAAAACGCCATGAGTATATGTCAAATTAGTTTTTAGGTACTATGGTGTACAATGTTTAAGAAATGATTTGTATTATTCCCGACTTGTTAATATACTAGTATAATAAATTTATTGTGTATGTTAAGCAAAATGTTAATTAATGTGTAACTGTGTGGGAGAATCTTAATTGCATTTGACTAGGGTTGTGAGGTGGGGCCAGGAAGAAAGAACAAGGAAATAGGGTAATTGGATTTGGAAAAAAAAAATAAAAATAAAAAGCAAAGAAGAGTGGGCAAGGGAACAGACCGGACCTATAAAAGGTTCATTCGGTCGGGACACCCTTCAACCATTTGTATCTTACATCACTAAAGCAACCCACCTATACATACATACATATATAAAGAAATATATTTTCCATATATATATATATATATATATAAAATATAAACACCAGTATCTGCATCACACATTAATATTCATTCTTCAACTTTATTAGCTTATCATTCTATATATTCAAAAGTAAATCACACTAAGTAGGTTGTTCCCACATGCTTGAAGATCAATTACACCTAATATTCTCTTTGTTAATGTAACTGATTGTCAAAAAAATATACACTCAGGCACATATATATAATGTAAATTATCTTCACTTCTTCTATGTTATAAAAGTAAATGAACAATATTCTCATCATTTGCGATAGGGAAAAGTGATCATGGGACCAAAGTTCAAAAGGCTGTAATAGGGCTACCTTGTATTTTTTGTTAATTAGTTTATGTTTTATATATCCTTATCTAATAAAAATGAAAAGAATAAAATTGGTTTCTAAGTACACAGATAATTAAATATTTTTTTCTAAAAACACTCTCACCTTATTTAAAATGTTAGTTAGACATTAGCTTCCAAATAACACAACAAATATTATAATCATATATTCATATAAAGCCTTGCACACCCACAAGCTTTGATCCTTGTAAAATAAATTATATCTATTTAAATACAAGTTTGTATGAATACAAAAAACATTCTTAAAAGAATTACTCTTAATTGAATCCAAACAATGTTCAAATTTGACATATGAAAAAAAGTTTGTGCTAGTTTCTTAGCTATGTGAAAATAGTCTTGGACAAATTTTGTCCTTTTATTGCACACCAGTTTAACATATCAATCATAAAGCAATTGAAAATGTCAGAAGAAGAACTACTAATCTGGTTTATTTATACTCAAGCACAGTGCTTTGCACAGAGCATCAAAAGAAGCTTATTAGTTAAGAAACATCACCTCTCAGTTCTCAAAGCCCTAAAAAGTAATAAAACAAAAAGAGTGTTATACGGGGGAGAGCGGGAGAGAGAGGTAATAATGGACAAGAAACTAAAAAAAAAAAGAGGATGATAAATAATAATAAATATAAATACTTAAAAAGGCGTCCCCTTTATTTATAATCCTTGCTCCTCTTGTTTCTTTCTTGCTTTCTCTCTTTCTCTTTCTCTTCTCTCTATCTATCTATCAATCCTGCAACCTCCACTACTCATCTGTGATTCTCCACTATCTATCTTACTATCTCCCAAAGAACCCGCCAACCTTTACAAAAGAGAAAGCTCTTCGAGAGGAATCATCCTTCCACAGCCATGGTTTTCACTTCAATCCCTCCTTATCTTGATCCAGCCAACTGGCAGCAACAGGTATCTTCAAGCGTTTCAATTTCTTCTTCATGTCTTCGTTCCTTTTTCTCTCATTCTTCTTTAATTTGTCCCAAAAGCAAACAATTTTCAAAAGATAAATATTCTTCTTGCTTTTGTTTATACCTCCTTCGTCTTGAATATACCAGATATTTGATTCATCCATCGATCTCTTTGTTTCCTTCTTCTTTTTCTCTTATTTTGTTTCCTTCCTTTTTTCTTACTGCAGCAGCCTCATCATCATCATCATCATACGGGCAATCTCGCCGGCGGTACGAGCTCTCAGCCGCAGCAGCAGCTTCTTTCGCCGCCACAGCCTCCGCCTTCGCTGCCTCCACCGCAGCCTCATGGAGCGGGAGGTACGGGTTCGATCAGGCCTGGTTCCATGGCTGATCGAGCCAGGATGGCGAACATACCCATGCCGGAGGCTGCTCTGAAATGTCCCAGATGTGAATCTACCAACACCAAGTTTTGCTACTTCAACAACTATAGCCTCTCTCAGCCTCGTCACTTCTGCAAGACTTGTCGGAGGTACTGGACCCGTGGCGGCGCTCTGAGGAATGTACCTGTCGGAGGGGGATGCCGGAGGAACAAGAGAAGCAAAGGAAGCAGCTCCAAGTCACCGGCGAGTTCAGATCGTCAAGCTGGGAGCACAAGTTCCACCAACTCCGTTTCTTCTAACAGTAATTCCGCCGGCGACATAATAGGCCTGGCCCCTCATGCGCCACAGCTCAGATTTATGTCTCCGTTACTCGCTGATTTCGCTGCTGCCGGTGACATGGGATTAAACTACGGCGTAAACTATAACGCAATTTCAGCTCCAATGGGTGGAGTAATCGGCGACTTAAACTTCCAAATAGGGAGTGCTTTAGGTGGAGGAGGAAGTGGCAGCACCGCTGCCGCCGGAGGAAGCAGCAGCGGGTCGATCTTGTTTGCTCCGGGTTTGGAGCAATGGCGGTGCCGCAAACACAGCAATTTCCCTTCTTGGCTGGACTGGAAGGTTCACCTGGATTGTACTCGTTTGAAGGTGGCACTGCCGGAGAGGGACTGGGATACGGCAGCATGAGTCTCCGGCCAAAGGCGTCACCAACAACATCCGGGGTGATAACTCAGCTGGCTTCGGTGAAAATGGAGGACAATAATAATCAGGAGATGAATTTGTCAAGGCAATTCCAACTGGGAAGTGAGCAGTATTGGGGTACTGGTGGTTCTACTTCTGCTTGGACTGATCTTTCTGGATTTAGCTCATCTTCAGCTACTAGCAATCCGCTATAGATAATTTCAGCTCTTTGTGAAGCTTCTTGTTTTTGTTAGTGTGGCTTCCACTTTTTTACTTATTAACTTCTTCCACAACAAAGTTTCATCTGAAAATCCTTCTGGGAGTTGGCCAGCATCATGATGATGATGATGATGAGCAATTCTGGGGATGATAATGGATGAGTACTTTGTTTCTTATTTCAAACCAAATGATGAGAACCCTAGGGATATGTTATAGTTCTTTTACTTATGATCTTTAAATGTTTTTCTTTATGATCTCTTTCCTTCTCATAGGTTTAGATTGCTTGCATGAGATTATGTTTACTAATTACTAGAATGATGAATTTGTGAGTTTATTAACAGAATTATGAAAATTAAGATCGTCGGTGACATCTGCTTAGCTAGATCACTGGTGATGGTGAAATGTTTCTTGCATTGATTTGGGGGAGAGAATATGTTGCAATGAAGATCACCCTCAGGCCTATATATATATATATATAAAAGATATATCATAGTCCATAGACATTACATTACGTTTTTATGGAGATTGAAGACTGGATTTGTGTTAAACTGAATTATATCGTGCATTTTATTTTATCAATCAAGTTAATTTTGGCGGTTGATGATGATGAATTCATAAGTTATGTTCTTATGAAGACCGTGGTTAATTACTTGGTCAAATTTAGCTTCCAAGTATTGCTTAATTAATTGTAGCTGTTGTTTCAGTTGTCAATAGAGAGTGAAATTATTATATACGGTGGTGGTCAAAGAAAGGCTTAATTAATAAACTAAGTTTATGTCTTTTTTATTAACTACGGATATTCTTCATACAGATGTGCTCGTATATATATAGTAGAAAGCTTTGGTTTTCTTCCATTGAAAATTGGATTTTCTGTTTTTTCTGTCTTTTAGAAAGTTAATATAATTCCCTTAAACCTCTTTGTTCGTGATGCTGACGAGGATAACTCATTTTAAAAGACTAACCTATGTAAGTGAAAGAATCCTTTAAATTTATAAACATTATTATATGTGGAACTCATAAAATGCACCCTCATTTGTGAGCCTTCTTGTCGGTCTGAATTCTTTGTGAGATGCTCTTTTTGTAATATCAACCTCTCATAAAAAGATATAAATGTTATTAATACAAAGTCAGAGAAAACACACCCTAAAAGATAGTTTATTTTGCAGGAGAATTTTTTGAACTTATAAACCTTATTTTTATTGTGAGACTTTCCTGTGTAAAACTCATAACAGATGCTATCATCAAGACATATGCATGCATAACCATCTCTGAAATATTTATCATAAGATTCAGTTAGCGATTATATATTTCTTTATGATGATTTTCCTCATTGTGAAACCTTATTACCATCTTTGGAACATGTTTCAAAACAACAATTTTCGTTATCGTCATGATATATAGTATGGTTTTATATTGAAAAGTGTTGGATTCGAATTGCTTTTTTCATACAAAATGAATTAACTTTTATTATCAGTTAATTTAATAAGCTGTCATCTTAAAATGTGATTCCACGCAGTTAACTATATGTTTTCTAACTAAAGCAAACCAATCTAAGTAACACTTTATTGACTAATGCAAATTCAATGTTCTCTCTTGAACTGGAAAAGTTAACTAATAATGTGTGTCTTTGGTCTTTACTAATTATGGAGTGAGAACGAAGGATTAAGTATTTATGTTGGCTCGATTTGATCGAATGATAATTAATTAAACCTAGCAAGCTATTTGTCTTCTTTAATTCAACAACCAACAAGGCAGTTTCAATTAGGTGTTGCTTAACATAATGATTACTTCAGAGTCAATTTAGCTAATCTCGAGCAATTATTTGAACAATCGGTCACAAATAGTAGATTGAGACCTCGTAGTTAATGACAAACCCTAACGACTAGCTCAAAAGGTCCTTCTTGTCATTATTGTTTCCAAATATGTCACTCAGATTTGAATGAGCTATTTCATATATAATTTTATTTAACGTCAATCATGTACTCTTGCATAAAACAAACTAGATGTATCTTTTCTAATATCTAAACACTGAAATATTCGATCAAATAAATATTGGACAAATAAAGTTGTGTAGAGTTCAATATAATGAGATGTGAAGAAATGTTAACATCATGAAAAGATATTTTATCCTCTCGTCGATAATCTTTCACACTATAAAGAGCTTTTCATTATGTGCAGCAAATATTGATTAGTAAAATTATATATGTTGAGTTCCGCCTCTTTTGTCTCCAAAAGCAGTTAATACATGCTAATAAACTTTAATTCATATCCTGGTCAAAAAAAGAACTTAATCACATCAGATTATCATGTTAATAAACTCAACAGAATCAATTTTGAATGTCTAATATCGATCGAGGTCCAGTTTTCCACGGTAATAAAAAAAACAGTAAATCACCAATCCATATCATCAAGAATTTGACGATGATTGTGATTTTTCAGCTTGCGCAGCCAAACCTAGACGTATCTAGCTACCTTCACTGAGCAATTGTAGTCATTCAAGAAAATTCTCACTTCTGATATATATATATATATATATATGAATGCATGCATGATTAAATTTATATATTCCCAATGGAGATGCAAATCTCATTTAGCTTCCTAATGTATTAATAAATTTAGCGGTGTAAACCGCTTTCAGCTAACATATCCACCTTGATCAGTGGAGAGATTACTTGGAACTATGATTAATGTGAAGACTGATATAGAATCATTGAAGAAATATTTTACTTCCACATGTGGTGGCATGTGTTTGTGAGAGAGAGAGAATGATTTTGTAATAATATGAGAATGTTCGTCCGGTGGGGGAGAGAGAGAGAGGAGACATTGCCTAACTTCGTGGTTTTAATGATGACAGAGTCAGAGAAAGAACATAAAAAGACGACAAAATGGCGACCCCAAAATCAGCCCAACAGAGAAAACCTTGTGATCATATATAGTACAGTTCCTACATTTTTTAAATATTAATTTTCGAGATAAGCATCATCATTGTTTTCATCATGTTCTTGGACGTTCTTTCTTTTCCTGTGTGGGAGTTTTCAACTCATTTCCTAAACCCAATAAAGAATGCTACGGTACTTCCTCCTGTACCATCCCATTTCTTGCGTTTGCCATTTTGTTTATTTTATGCTCTTGAAATCAGGTCAATTTGATTGGTTAAATATTTGAACATTTAATCAGTATTTTGACCACTCCAATAAAATATTTTTTTACAATTGATTTAATCTCAATTTAATTATAATTTTGATTATTAAGTTTTGAAGCAATGTCTTAAAAAATTCAATTTTTAATACTTGATGTAATTACATAATTTATTATATTTTCTTCAATCGTATTTATAAGGCAAGAGACAAGATTTTTTATTTTATTTATAAGTTACATCACTAAATTAAAAAAATGATTGATACTATAATTTCATTGGATTCTACTTTTAATTCATGTAGCTTTTTTCAATGTTTTCATTCATTAACACTAAAATTATAAGAATTAAAAATTTAAAAAAACTATAAGAATTAAAAACAAAACTTGATATAATTATGAGGACTAATAATTATATTTTTTCTTAAATTTTTATCAAAATTTTTTTCTTTTACCCTCCATTAAATATTAGTAAGAGAATATGTCATTATTGGTGCAATAAAAGTAAAATTAAAAACTAATTGAATTTTTAGATGGAGTTTGTGAATTTTAAAAATTTTTTTAATTTTAATGAAATATAATAAAGTGACTCATAAATAAAACTAGAGTAGTATTCGTATGTTTGAAAGCAAATTCACACTAACCCTCAGATTTTCAAGAAAAAAACACAGCTTAATTATATATGTTTGCATTTGTTGTCTAGATTTCATTTTTCACTTTTTATTTTTTGCTTTTGCTATGATATCTCAAGTCTTTAATCTAAACTAATATAGTTGATATTTGGTGGGCATCTCTTTAAATGATATGCCTCTTATCGAGAACTTAATCATTGTTACATACCTATAGCTTGAATTAATTTGAAACCCTTGATCAAGCTGGATCAACTCTCAGCTAGTTAATCAAGCAACCATGGTTGTATATGGTTTTTCAATTTCAATACAGGTGTGTTGCGCCAAGAAAATTCTTGAAATGAAAACAGACATTATTTTGTGGGATATAATAGAGTATGTAGTGAAAGAATTAGTGTACTGTACTGATGGAAAAATCAGTCAAATACGAAGACGAAGTGTATTTGAAAGAGAAGATCTTTCGGGGGGGTCAAAGGAAGAACATAGAATTTAGGAAGCAATCTAAGTGTTGGTGACAGTATTAATACCACAAAATCAGGGACAGAAGCTGACATGGAAGGCAGGAGAGTCTGACCATTTCGCAGACATTCAGGCGCGTGAGCGCGTGTCAGTCTAACAAAGAAAGAAGACAAGGGAGTGCTTTGTCAGTATCTGTACGTTGCAGCAGAGCCAGAGACCACAGAGACAGAGAGAGTGGACCGGGGTCCACGCGAGTGGATGAATGTTGCACGCGCTTCGGAGCAAGGCCACTTGGAAACTTGCAGCTTTGAACATTCTATTTCTAATATTTTATATATTAATATTATCATACACATGAATGTTAGTATGTATGAGTGCGCGCGCGCTATTAACGGTTCATTGTTGGTCCAACATGAAAGAATCTTCCTTCTTCTCACATCCCCTCTCGACTTTCTCTTTCCCTCCCTTTTTTATCGTGTGGAGGTGTTTTTTTTTTAATTAGAAGTAATATATCTCGTTTGAGATAGGATCTCCGACATTAAATATAAATATCTGAAAACACAAATCATTTTATAAATATCTGTTTCAGAAAATCCGAATTATTTTTTTTCCTACATTCTTCTCAAATTTGCCATATTTCTTCACTCATGTCATCGAACTTGTACATCAGTTTCAGAAGATCCAAATCATTTTATAAATATCTTCTACAAGCATGGATCGTGTTCCATCACAATATCACAACCCTACTCTAAACAATAAATACGTTATTACGAGTTTCATATCAATTAGAAAACCTCGTAAATGAGTGAGGTTTATAAATAATCATTTAAATTTATAAACATTAATTTTCTTATAAAGCTTCTCAAGCAACAAGGTTTAGATGAACGTGGCTTTATATATAACTGCAGTTTTTTGCTATATATATATATATATATATATTGAAGCGGAAAAGGTGACAATATATAAGGTTGTAGGGAAGAAAATGAATGAAGGAGGGACAAGATGTGAAATAGGGTGAAGATATGCAT